TTCTTGGTAAATGTCAAGAGGAGGGTCCATCAAAACCATAAATTAGATTCAGCCCTCCCCCCCTCAATAATCTTTTTGCATTCTGCCTTAATAAACTCCAGTGTCTGCCAAATACACGGGCGAGCCGACGTGTCAGTGTTGGCCTACGAGCAGGGATTCACTTTGTAATATTCAGTCCTCAACCAGATTCTTTTCTCGAGGGATTTGAGTGACATTGAAACAGTGACATTCATTTTGCTGATTTCATCATGGCTGCTTCCTCAGATAAAAACAGTGACAAAGGGAGTCGGGGGGGCTTTTAAATAAAATCCAGACAGGTAGGGTGGTGATTGTAAATGCTCCCCCATGGCTGGCTCTCAACACTGAACCCGAGTCCTCCAGCCTGTAGGTGGTACGTACATGACATTTCATTCTAATTACACTAATTACAATCTGTATCAGCTGAGGGAAAACCAAGACCCAGCAGCACTAAGTTGATCAGGTTTTATTAGGTGTCTGGCATCAAGTGACACCATTTGATAGTGGTAACTCTTTTGTCATCATGCCGTTTTAAAAAACAAAAAAAAGCTAATTGTTTGTTCTTCAGTGATGTAGGAAACAGGAAATAGAAGATAATGAACTTGACTCTTACTGTGAGTCTCATAGCTAATGAGTCCCAAGTCTGTTAGCTGATGGTTAATCATTTACAATTTAAGCTCATCCTATAGCCTGGCAGCATACATGAAGCCTTTCTTTCCATGATGTTTCCTTGCTTGCTAAGAATAGCACGTTGTGTGTTTTTAATATGCATGCAGGGAATTTAAAGCGCCTGTTATTTTTGAAGTCGGTCAACCGTGCAGCGCATGGCTTTAAAGTGCACTTGGATTTATCCTTCCCTTCAAAAGACCTCCACGCTTTGTTTTGATTTGTACAGGCATGTGTAGTGACCTGGATGCTGATGTGAAGCCAATTTCTTTTTTTTACATTCTCTTTTGAGAAAGAGTTTAGTGTATAGCCTTTAGTTTGACAACAGAGAAGCATAAACATATCGGCGTTTGGAGATACTTGAGGGCAGATGCTTGACAGAAGTTGTTGTAGTTTTTATGAAGTGATATCCCCCAATATTTGTGTAAGAACGGTATAATCGTTAAATTTAACTACGACCTTTACTGTCAAGAATCCAAATAACTTGTATTGTGTTTTTGTTTATATTAAAATGAAAACGTTTCCTCTGCTACTAGATGGGGATTTGTTTTCTTCAGTTCTGGTGAAGTTGCTTTCTGGAGCTGGACTATGTGCTGCAGGCCACAGCAGCTAAATACAGCAGGTTTAAAAGGGCTAGTCTTGGCTGGAGAGTAATGGTTGTGTGAATGCTACACTCGTATACAACGACACCGATATGAAATAATCCCCCCCCCCCCCCCCCAGCCCAAAAAAAAGAGCAACTCAGTATTGAAACTCAAACCTATTAATAGACCCGATTTCAGCTCTAACTTATTTATTTTTACGCATTTTCCCTTGTTGCCATGGCAAAAAAGACGAAGAGCTGCTCACGGTTGTCTTGGATACGACGGTTTTCCCTTGTAAAGTAATGAGCGGAGCTGAACCTGTGGGAGCACAGGGTTATTTATAGGCCTGACGCCAGCTTGCATGTGTGGATTAAGATGCGTGTGTGTGTGAGAGTGTGTGTGAGAGCATGTTTACAGGCTTTAATGCAGACTCACTTTGGGAAGAGCTGAAGGCGTTCTACACTTGGCACACAAACACCTGGGCCACCACTCGTGTCATCGCTCCAAATGTGCTGAGATGCAATTTGGAAAAAAAACAAGCCAGCATCTGCAGATGCAGACTTGAAAGAAATAGAGGCGTCCCTCAATTACTGATGGTGATCCTTACTGATCACATACATTACAACACTACATTGGTTTCATGTGTGAGTATAGGCTTGCGGATAAAAAGGCAATATGTAGCAAATAAGTATCGATCCTCAATACATATAATGTATCACTTATTCCCTTGAATATCTAGAAATATCTAGAAATATAATTATAGATCTGTGTGCATGCACGAAAACCACACACAACACACCCAGCTGGCCTCTTGTTTTAATAGACTGACAGTGTAGAGATGATAGCAGGTCTGCAAATATGATGTCATGGCAGCTGCGCTTTTGAGCTTCTCTCTTCCTGCAATACGATGTGGAAGATGAAGACTTGTGTGTGTGTGTGTGTGTGTGAGTTGACTAATAAAGCGAGAAATCACTCAGAGAGCAGAGACCCTTTAGATACACAAGATATTACTGTAGACGGACTGACCCACCATTTTCACCTAACTGGAGGGTCTTTTCCATCTGCAGCTCGTGTGAAAATACCCAATTTGACCTCATTGAAGGACCACCTATTTACACACTGTTCAGCCGGTCTTTGAGGTTCCCTGCACGATAGAGCATTAATAGAGCAGCAAACGACTCTTTGCTATGTAGAAATAGTGGAGTAACGTCTACCTGAGCATGACGTCACTCTCCCTCTGTGTGTGTTGTTATCTGAGCTTATCCGCTCCTCGTTAACATAGCTGGGTCGGCCGTGCGTGTTTTAATTGGATGTTAGTGCACGTGAGCGTGCCCCTCTGGCTAGCTCACGGACGCCTCATTAACGCAGCGCAGAGCGGCGGCTGTGAGCTAGTCGTTACAGCTGACGCCGTTAGCACACACCTTCCGGTTCCCCTTCAGGCAAACACTGTTAGCTCTGTTAGCACTGTTAGCACCATCAGCTGCCGGCTGATGGTGCCTGTGGGTCCAGAGGACTCATTACATTGACAATCAGCATCCTTGGTAGTGATTGATTACTGGTTGCAACTCTTACTAGACATCCAGGCTTTTCTACAATACATGCCACCCCTGGTGATGACTGCACCATCATTAGATCTTGGCCAATTACGTACCATCAGTAATATAAAATAAGAAGCAGGGAGCACAGAGAGTGGCAGAGTCGGAGAGCAGAGAACACCCTGCCCCCCCCCCCCCCAACCCTCCTGACACCTCCTCCAGTGTGTCAGCCCAGCTCCAGTACGGCCAAGCTCCGCTGCAATCGGCTTTGGCTTCTTAGCGGCTGTGTGGTCTTTGCATACTTTTAACAAGCCCTGTCATTTCACAGTGCAAACACGGGATGCCACGGATAAGCCTGGGGGACTGGTGTGTGGTGTTAGGAACCTGATCCGCATTGATCAGAGGTTTGCAAAAGAGCTTGGGTCCCTCAGCATCTAGGAACATGCTTCAATGTCACAGCCACATATACTTGCACACACACAACTTTTACTAAACCAAGAGACACAATGAAGTGGTCTACGCGCACAGCTTTTTTTCTATGCGTCAGTTACATCGAGTTCAGGTCGAGCTATTCCAAATGTGATATGACATGTCTGTGGGTTAGGAGGAGACATAGATTTATTGCATAAGGCAAAGAGAGGGAGTTGCATATAGACCAAAAACCATGAACAGGACCAAAACATACGGCAGAAGATTGCCAGGATTACTGGATTATGTATAATAGATTTTAGAAGGACAGATTTAATCTAAGTTCTCATTAAAGTAATGAAGTTTTGAAAGATCTTGAAATTCATTATTCAAACCCTCATTCAAATGGAGGTATGAAAAGCAATAATAAAGGTGTCCCAGACTGTTACCTCTGATACTGATGAGCCCCGTTAGGTTCATGTAAATCCTTTCAATGCTGGAACGTTGTGTGAAGATGCTTCATCACTCCAGATCAGATCAGTGAGGCTGAAATGTGATTTGTGTGTCCACACATTCACACACAGTGACCCTGTGGTGGTGTTACTGGGTTTTGGCCACCACAGCACTGGTTCCACCATGGATTGCTATTGTCATGGCAACCAGGAATTAGCATCCTTGGATACCACTGCCTCTCCCTCTTCAGCTGCACTCCTCTCCTCCTCTCCATTGTTCTTGTTTGAGCTCCCACTTTCTCTCTCTCTCCTGTCTCTGTCTCCGTCTCTCTCTCTCTGTCTATCATCTCTCTATCCTGTCTTTCTCTCTCTCTCTGTCTGTCTGTTCTGCCTCTCTCTCTCCCTTTCTCTTTCTATCTGTATCTCTGTCTCTCTCTATCTGTGTCTCTCTCACTCTCTCTGTCTGTCTGTCTGTGTCTCACTCTCTCTCTCTCTCTCTATCCATCTCTCCTTTTCTCTCTGTCTGTCTGATCCTCCCTTTCTCTTAATTTCTATTTACCGTGTGTATTTTTGTGTAAAATTTCCACATCACCTGATGAGCCCGTTTTGAATTTTAGGACAACAGATGCTGACTCTCCCAGTCTTCTGTCTGTAATGTTTTCGTTCTCTCCTCCCGATGTTCAATGGATCAATTAGAAACAACAGAGATCCTCACTAAGCTAATGGTAGCCGGCCTGCCCACTCACTCATCCGCTCACTCAGTCTTTCCAACTGTTGCTAATAGTACCCCACGGACGTGACGGCTAAGACTGTTTGGATGTTACCAGAGCAACTGGCTATCCTATTTATAGCTATTAACAAAGTTAGATCCCAATTGGAGTGTGTGGGAGCTTGTAAATTAAGAATGAGCTGTGCACATACAGTACGTAAGTCCACAGTGATTATGACTAGATTAAGACTTCCATGGATCCCTCTGTGTTGTACTTGAAGGTCCTTGATGCAACAACACAGTTCATCACAATGTGACAAGCAGCAATTTAAAAACAAGCTATATCAAATATGCAAAACTGTTTATAGAACTTCTATAAAGAGCTTCTACCCTCCTTCCCTTAACTCGGCCTCAGTGCTCTGACAGCCAAGGGGTTCTGCATTCATATTCACAATCAATACTTCATTAGTGTTTTCAATGCATCTCCCTTCTCTCTCTCACTGCACTCTCTTTCATTGCAGTTGACCCAACAAGTTGTGGAGGATACCGGGAGGAACCGATTCTTAAAATGCCTGTGGCAACATCCAGCTCTGACTCCAGTAAGTGACTTTGTCTCGCTATGATGAAGGCGTGTGTGTGTGTGTGTGTGTGTGTGTGTGTGTGTGTGTGTGTGTGTGTGTGTGTGTGTGTGTGTGTGTGTGTGTGTGTGTGTGTGTGTGTGTGTTTCGGTGAGAAAGATATCGAGAGAGAGACAAGAGGGAGGAGACGTTGAATGGTTTGTGGTTATTCCAGCACTCGGGACATGTATCTCATCTCCAGAGTTCTAATGTGACTTAATGAGCTGGCTAATGGAGCGCTAAACCTCCAGCCTTAGATCAGCCATGCCTCGAAGGATTTGCTGTACCCTTCGCAGCCCTCTACGCATGCACACACGCACACATGCACGTTAAACCTGCGCTAGTGGCCAGTAGTACAAATGCACACGAGTGCATGCACGAACATGCACACAAATGTCTGTTATTATGGATTGATGACTGATCAATGATGACTGAAATAGTACAGCGTGAAACCCAGAGGGTTAAGGGATTTGCAGCCACTTTTCGAGTGTCTTCCGTTGGGCGTAGTTAAAGAAAAGAAAGATCCAATTTAAGTGCCAATCTGGCACTTGACAACACAATAGTAAAAGCTTACTATTAAATAAAAGTATTGCACCCTTTTGCAAAATTTTCAACAGAATTGCTGGAATGTAAATCAAAAATGTGGCGTCCCATTGATGGCCTCTTTTGTTGGCGTTGTATCAGAGTGGATTTTTAGATGTATACTTTGGCACTGATATGAAAGTTGAAGTGTAGCCCTGTAACAGCAGCAGATTTATATTTCCCATTAGTCTCTAAAATGGCACATAGCCATGCTTCCATGCATTTCCTCTTCACTCAGTGCTGTGGGCACTTGATCCAGACACATAAAAGATTGAAAAGCCTCAGCCAGATGTCTGGGAAATTAGGAGTCTCAGTATATATTGGGTAGCAGAGGACCAAATCTTCAACTCAGAGCTTCGTGGTATATTCTATCGCGTGATAATACATCGCAGGAGTCAGCTGTCGGATAGAGGAGAGTTAAAATGTTTCTTTTTCGTAATAGTCTGTCAGTCAGTCTTGATTTGTACACCAGCTGAGGGCTGAGTCGGGATGACTGGCATTTTTAGTAAGGCAGAGTAAATTGTTTCTCCGAGCCAATTCATGTCTTTTTTTTTTTTTTTTTTCAAATTTCAAAAGCAGCATTTTCAGGAAGGCTATTTTTGCACATGATGGGTGAAGGGTTAGAGGAGGGTCAGTTCTGATTATAAACAAGACGATATTTTTCAACTCCTGTCGGCAAAGGAAGTCTTTATGAGCAGAAAGCACAAATGTAAACTTCCCAATATATAATATGTCCCTTCACTGACTGTATCTGCAAGGCTGGCTGTGTTTGTACCCGTGTCTGTGATCTCGGTAATGGAGGGTCATCACTCATATAGATCACTACAAGCAGCCTTCTGCAGCTCTTTCCCCCGGTTAGCCCCAAAGGGAAGCCCGGAGTGAAAATCGCCCTGCCTCCTTTCTCCCTCCTCCTAGAGAAAGCATCACACCTTCCTCCCTCTTTCTTCCCTAACCCCCCCCCCCTTTTCTTTGCTCATGCACACAACCCTCTGTTGTCTCCATTCATTCACGTGGAGGAGAAGACGCTCAGCCAGGCATAGCTTCTACATGTTCACGTCAAGAGCAGGTGGAGAAGGGAGGAAAGAGCGAGGAGCTGTTTTTGCCAGAAAGAGAGGAGAGAATCAGGTGCAGATAGGGAGGGAGGGAGAGAGAAAGAGAGAGGGAGATCTCTCAGCCTGCCTCAGATACAGTATTGGGTGTGTTACTGTGAGTGTGGGCACTGTAGAGAGGTGTTGTTCACCATGGCTGGCAGCCTGTTTGGAAGGCTCTCCCTGGACGAAGAGGACTCGGCCAACTCCCTGGAGGGCCTGGAAATCAAGCTGGGGGGAGAAGGTAAGAACACCGGGTCCTACCTGCTGGGTGTGTGAGGGATGCAGGATTAGTTTAGACAGATGACTTCTGCAGCTATATGTTTTGTCACAGGTTGGGGAAGGATATACTGGACAGAAACTGTGGGGCAGCCGAGAAGGATGAATCGCTGTTAAAATGCAACTATGCAATATGCTTGTGCGCACAGTGGTGGTTGAGGGCTATTTGGTGTTTTAAATTCGCATTGCACCTGCTCCTGATGTGCTGGTTCAAACCTCCTGAGTGTGATGAATATGAGCAGAGACGGAGTAGGACCCTGGGCAGCGTGTGATGTACAGGAATCTGAGACAAGCAGACTACAAAGACAAAGAAGGCAGTCGGCAACGTGCAGGGAAAACGTGCCACATTGTCTTCTATTTAGTTTACAGTGAGATGCCTTGTGGTAAACTGTGAGCAATAAAGAGTGAGAGACGGAGGATTGCACTTTGAGATAAGTAAAGAAAGCAAAAAGATAAGAAGTCATTCAAAGATGAACAGCCTGTTTTTAAAAGCAAGTGCATTTGTTGTATTGGATGATAATGCACAGATAATGTTAGCTCACACAGCATGGAGTAGGAAGTTCCATACATTCAATTCATTATTGATAGAGCGCATTAATACTGCATGTGGTTGCATACTACACAGTAATATGTTGTGAGTCCATATCTATTTATGGTCTGTTTTGTCCTTTCCTCTATTTGACGTCATGTTAAATTAGTTGAGGTTGGAAGCATCATTGATTCATTGCCCAGTCCATTGCATATCACACAGTATACCATGTTGCAAGATATCCTCTGCCCTGTAATGTAGCATGACAAGACAGCAGTGACAGCCACAATGAATCACATTTTCTGTCATAGCATTTGCATCCCGTCTATCAGTTCAGAGTGTGTGAGTGTTTGTGAGAGAGAGAGAGACAGACAGACAGAGAGAACGATAAAGAGAGACCTCGAGTGCATTGTACATTCATGGAGAGTAGGGGGGTCATTCATATGCAACAGTGTTCTGATCAGAGCGAGCACGCTTGAGTGTCAGACTCACAACCTTCAAATAACTCTTTGGCTCTCTCACTTTCACCCCCTCTCTCCCCACACACACACACACACACACACACACACACACACACACACAGTCTCTCTTCCCCAACGAACCTTCACACTATCAGAGGAATATTCTGTGTGCCGACTGGACTAATGAAGCCGTGTCCAAACACAGGTGATGGATCATTGAGTACAGTGTGTTGGTAGGATTAGGCTGTCAAAGATAATCGCTGGGTTTCAAGAGAATAGGACAATTTAATTCAGTTCCGGCTGAGGGTATGATGCGGTGACACTGGCAATTATTTCATCCGTATCGCACCCTGACGATCTCTTGTTTGCTCTTTCATTAACCGCTGCGAGGAAAATAGCTGCACACACAAAGTCGAAATGTTTCCTTCCTAACAGCAAGTTCAGTCGATAAACTTGTTTGTGTTAGTCCCCCCCCGTCCCCCCCCCCCCAACAAAAAATAACTTCACATGAAGTTATCCCTCGCCCAGACTCTCCACGGGCTGAGGTGTAATGGGAAGCTGCTGTCCATTTGCGAAGTGTCAACAAAAATCACAAAGTGTTGTCTCCAGTGGTGACCTTCAGCCAGCTAATAAGGCGATCCAGCACGCACCCATATCCCGCCAGCTTGAAACAAGCATCACCATAGAGATGGGATGGTTTAAATGGCAGCTTTAAAGTCCCTCGTCCTGCTGATTGGCTACCCAAGAGAGAGGAGGTCAGGGTTACAGTTTTTCCCCTGAAGATGTTGTCAAATGACAGAATTCCTGGTTTCTTTTCAGTTTCCTGGATGAATTAAAGGCCTTTAACGTCCATAGTAATGGGGATTTTAATTATATTGGCTGGTTACATGCTCTGTGTGGACGTCATTAATAATTCTTCTGCTGTGTTCATATTATTTAGCCAGTAAATATGAGCAACTGAGTCAGAAAAACCCTTCATGTCAGCATCCCAGCTGTAATTTCAAGCTGGAAATATTGAGAATTTGTGACAATGTCTTCCACTCTGTGAAAAGAACTGCAGAAGTGTCAACTAATACAATCAATTCAGGTACTTTAAAGGTGATATATATATCACCGGTTTGTGTCTGTTACTTGTTACCAATCAGCTCCAAAAACCTAACACTGCCTGAACACTTTGAAGTCTTGAAGGACTCGGTAAAGATGCACCGATCGAAACTTGCTGCAGTTTTGAAGTCGTTTCATTAAGAACGAAAAATGTATTTCAATTTTCCATGAAAGAAAAAAATGTTTGTTTGCTGTCAATTATAGATCTTAGAAAGAAAGAAAATTGGAATCATCAAAAATCATAATCAGCAGTTCAGACTTTGAAAAACTTGGAACCGGAATCGGAGAACAACATTGCATTGGTGCCGTTCTACTAATCAGCCACAAGTGAAAACACCTGTGTGATGCAGGACCTTTACATCCCCACACAGAGTGATGTCTTAGTTTCCCAATGCTCAACATTTCCATCAAGACCCTGAAGTCCAACCTTAGTAACTGTATATAATCTGTCTACAACTGCACTTGTACAGTAGACAATAAAAAATGATGTCTATAATTATGCTGACCAGATGAAGAGAGCTATCGAAAGCAAGCCTGTACAAGCTACACACACACACACATTAGCCACACAAGTATATTACTTCATGGATGTGCCCACACATGCTTCACACAACGTTCTCTGAACCTGTCATGATGAGCTTGTCTTTTCAGTGTTCACATTTTAGCTGTGGTAGTTCTACTCTGTTAACCTGATGTTTGTTACACAGAACCATCTGAGAAGCAGTCATTATAAACTGTTTGGGAGGTGATTTAATGAACAATCTGTCAATCAAACTCTTGCTAGTTAGGAGGGGAGCGAAAACATCTTTTTCCATTGAAGAAATGCTCTGATATACCTACATGCTATTGCAGCATCTCCGCCATTGTTGTTTCGGACAAACAGTCCTCTCTCCGTGTCGTCTCTCACACCTAAGCCACACCCGTAGCCACGCCCCTCACAGCTGATTGGTCCCTGATCTGGCTTGCCGGACACAAACGCGTTACACATCCTTTGCAGCCTGACGAGATGGATTTCTGTGTGATATGCAATCCTGCGATTCTTGGGTGATCTCGTGTCATTGCGAGAATCCAGCTGCCGTGCAAGGCAAGTAATCTGTATGCTCGGAGGAGAAATGCTTCACACTCTGCAAGGACATCATGGCGAGGATCAAGCACATACCATAAGGACAAATAATTCATATACTTCAGTCAGAAATGATTCATCGGTATGGTACGCACGATGGAATATACTTCATTCCAATGAAATTCTCCAGCACAGTCTTAGACGTTCATCTTTCGCTACCTGAGGGACGGATGGTAATTATATTGTGCTGGAGAGCAGGGAGCAGAATCAAATCTAATCACAAGCTTGAAGTATTTAATAAAGTCTGTCAGGGCCCCGGGAGTATTTTATGACATCGATGGGACTTTTGGCTTATTTTAAATAGTTTCAGGGTCATCCGCAACATGCTCTTTTCTGTTCATTTTAATGGAGAAATAAAACTGCAGTAACTTCCAAGTGTTTCCAGGAAACACGGGAATATCAATGAGTTTTTGTGGAGAAGGCTGCTTAGAAATCTGTCTGTGTTTTCACAGGACAAAGCAGGTGTTATTACTGCGGAGTCGCTCTGCACACTGAAAAGCTTAACATTGACCGTACCAGACCGAGGCATGTTTTGTATTAGAAACACGATGACACATAATCGGTACTTCAGAATACATTGTTCCTCATGGTGCCTGTTTGAGAATCATAGAAAGAAATCAAAGCGTCCAAAGTGCTTAAATTGCATAAACCCAATTTACTGTTTCAGTTAAACAGACTCGCTCGCCACCGAGTGTCCCACCTCCTCGAGCAGAGGGCTGCAGTAACGCTCATGGTCAGTGTGTAGCACACCGCAGCTGATCGTAAACACCGGTTGTGGAGAAACACAACATCAAACGGCATTAAATAATTGAACAGAACAGAGCACTAGCAGTTTTCAATGATGGCGTTTAATACCGTGCGTATTGGGCAGGCTCATTGGTGGACTCACCGGTCCCATGAGATGATGTATGATGATTACGCACCGCATCCCTCACCTTTTTGTCACGAGCATGTAAATACACTGGCATTATCCCATAAAACTCTACATTTCTGTATGTATTGTCCGGTTGCATTTTTCAAAGTTTTAGTCGGCAGTGTTTGAGCTTGAGAACATTGCAAATATTGATATTAAAGTGGCTGTAATCAATATGTTGTATCTTACGACGATTTGAAAATAATGTTGCTTTGAAAATGTCGCTTGTAGTGATGAACCTACAAAGATGAAGACCTCCTGTGCTCGTTTATGGTCTGCCCATTACCTGTTAATATGTAATTGTGCTTCTTTCCCTTACATTCACTGTATTTGCATTGAAAGACAGTTTGTTTATCTCAATGACTTTCGGCAGACCCAGACTGCTTTTATTGGCAGAAAGTAGAAAGAGTCGGCTGCACACCGTACTCCTCTGTGTTTACGTCCCCGTGAGGATTCAGCATGGCAACACAGAGCCGCATCTCCCACATCTTTTCCCTCCATGCTCCACCCTCCCTGTGCTGCCCACTCCATCCTCTCTGTGTTTCCCTAACCTCTCCGCTCCATAGCAACAGAACAACCTTCGCTAAGTGCTGGCTAAGAGGTTCATGTTCCCCCGCTGTGCTCTATCCACAAACAATAACGGCCCAGGTTTGTTTGGCTGCCTCCATGACATTGAGTTTAATTGTAACCCTCACTGGAGCTGGAGCTCAGATGAGACTTTAAAGAGACAAAATCACCTTTTATTCAGGGTTCCTTGTGATTACATGTGCTCTGTTACCACGGCAAGCACGCTCCTATTCTGCTGACCTTTGTTAAGAGGTGATGCTCGAGGCTACCACAGTGCAGTATTATTATGAAGGAGGATTTAATCGTTTTCTCTATTGGCAGTTGTCTGTACACGATCTGAGTGTCTTGGGAACTTGTACATGTTTGTCATGATTATTTATGTGCTCTACTGGGTCTCCTCTTTGTTGACCCCTTGAATCCAGAAGATGCACGGTAGTGAAGGCCTGTCAAACAAGACATTCTCGAGCATGAAAAGAGCTTGAAATTCGACATTTCCCTGGAAGAGCACATGACGTACAAGTAGCTGGTTCAGTTTGTCTGCACACCTGAGTCCCATTTTGTGTTCATAAGCCCCCACCTGCTAAATGGAGTTCTCTCATGGTATCAAGTTACTGTGTGTAGTATCGGGAATTCAGGTTCACTGGAGCGAAAAATGACTTTTGCCAAAGCTCTCACCTCTAAAGGCTCAGAGGATGAAGAATAACACCCGAGTACATTATTACGCAAATGTCTACATCCAATTTATATGCTGGAATGAGACATGAGTAGAAGAAAGATCAATACTGTGAAAGAATGCTGTTTGGTACTGGCTGTGCATTTTTATATGAGGTTTATGCATGGGGTGATGGCTTTGACAGCAGCCGTATACAAGATGAAATACTCCACCTGAATACTAAAGAGAAAGTTGCTGTTTGAAAAAAAAAAAAGAAAGTAAATAGACACAGTATCTTAGTCTGACATTCAGACCTCTTCCTGTCTGAACTGTTGACCTGTATGACCAATCCTGTGTTGTCTTTGCTTTGATGCTTGCCAGTGAAAGTAAGCGATGCAACCCTATTTATCTATATAGAGAGAAGAAAGGCAAAGAGACCAGAGAAGGAGGACAAGTTGGATTTTTAATGATCTCTATGAATAATAGAACAACCCCAGGCATACTCGGCACTGGAAAAGAAAAATGGCTATTATTCTCCGGTTCCTTTCACACCTTCTCTGTGACAGTCAAGCATTGGCACTATCACAGAATATGAAACGCAAAGTCAACATCCTGGATGCACTGTAGAGGACCAATGGAGTGGAGAGGAGAACATGATCAGCGTGTGAGACAAAGTTGTGAAAGTAGTGAAACAAAGAGGAAAGAAAACCTCTCTCCACAGTCCACACACGTCTACTCACAGACGAGCTAACATCGTTGAAAAGTGACGACGTGGCAACAACGCCGGCGTGCAGTTGCGGTGATTAAAGAGAATTATGGAGGACTCGTAAGCCGAGCCTGCTGGTCTGATAGTCTCTGCCAGGCGCAAATCTGGCAACTTTCCTGCTGGAGCAGAGCCGGCGTTTGAGGGGAAAATAGAAGAGAAGCAAGACTTCACTGCGGAAGACTTGTGTAATTATTTATTTGATTAACTTAATGTACTTCCTCTGGCCTTCTTGCCTTTCTGTCTTTTTAATGTGCGTGAAAGCGGAGATGAGGACAGTCGTTCTTCTGACTGTTTGTACACGGGTATACAGTAAATGTGCACGTAAAAATACCTTTTTTTTAAAACTCAGAAGAAGACCGAAAATAGTTTTCTCAAAATATCTATGACCTCATCACTCTTCTTTAGGCATCTTTACAAAACAACAACCCCCACTGTTCTGCTGAGCAATAGAAACATAAATCATTTGCCAGCTTCGTGACAGACCCGAGCTGCACACAAAAAACACAACTGTTGTGTTGTGTGTTCAACTCCCACTGTCCATATTGTTCAATTTTACAGCATCAATAAACACACTTTTTGGCGGTTTCTCTTCCTGTGTTTTCACTCCTCTATAGAATATCAACTTGAAACATGAGTTTGTTCATAGAGAGGATCATTATAAGGGGATTAGAGAACGTTTTCTGTTTGAGTTGATGGTGTTTGAGTCCACAGTGTAATGTTGCTGTTTATTGTCTATAGAGCAGCTGCAGGCATCAATGAAACATGAAACCCACCGAATAAAATGATGGTTCTCTGGGTCACATATTCATGACTCCCAAATAGTCCCAAATCTCGATTTTCACAAGACAAATGCAAATTCTTCTTTCAAGTGATGTTCTGTGAATCATTGAAAAACTTAAATTCACCGGCACGGTGCGATGGAGGCCCGAGTGGGAAACATTAAACCCTCTAAACATGGTCATTGTCATTGGCTCAGAGCACTGCTGTTCTTAATAGCCTCACTGAGCCTCTAGTATGGCCACAGACTTGCTGTTATTTGTCTCTTTAAATGCATGAGTATCTGTATAAATGTACCTGGAGGCGACCATCCATCTCCTTTTTTTTTCCTGTAGTCGTGTACGTGGGGCTCATTTTTTAAATATGCTAGCTTTCTAGCTCGCTCCTATATAGTTTACAGTAGAATAAATCCATATATTTTATACCACTAATAGGAAACCGTAAAAAATAAGTGCTTTTCGAGGATTTATTACACTGCACGAGCTATCATGTCTTATGTTATTATGCATACTGGGTATCCAAAGTCTCCCTTGCTCAGGTTCAACATGTTTATGTGGGGCACAGTCTTCTTACACAAAACTAATTAACTGCCCTCTAATTGGACCATTCAACCTCTTAACGCTCTGTTATGCCCTTATTAGGACATGAGACTTATGAAGCGGGTCGTGCATGATCTGTAGTGGATCACCCATCTGCCTGCATTGTGGGGGGAAAAAAGGTTTGAGTATTTAGCTTTGCAAACAAAGACCTCCGTGTCTTTTTGAGTAAATTACAGACAAATGTTCCCTGTGAATAAATATGCCCACTCTTCTGTCAGTCATGTCCGCTGTGATTAAAGCCTGCTGGTGCGTCATATTCCACGTCTGTGGAGACGCGCTAAAGCTAGACTGAACCTTCCTTGACCATCAGCGAATCGTTGACATCACATTGCATCTGCTGATTGATCGGTCGTCTTATTGATTGATTGTCTGTGGTTTAGAAGTTTGATTTAGCATCTTTAAAAAAGGGCTGCATATGCGTGCATGCGTTTCCTTTTCTGGGCTTATGATCAGTTGACTTTGTCCATATTAGAATCTCGTCTTATCTGGCTTTTTAATCAAGGGGCTTTTAGTTTAGTACAGGCATACTAACTGAAAATAGTATATTTATTCTCTTAGCAACTTTGTTGTTGTTACGCTACCGTGTGTGTGCGTGTGTAGGTGAGAACGTGTGCATAGGAGGGAGGAAGTTGTGGGAGAAAGATACTGTCGTTTCTGACAGACATAAGAGGGGGGTGACTGACAGAGGTGAAATTGCTTGAGAAAGGATGTGATGCAGCTCACTTTGCCTACAGCCTCCTCTCATTCAGCCACGCAGTGTGAACTACTGTAAATGTGCTCTCTCTCTCGCTCTCTCTCTCTTATTTTCACTGGGGTGATCTATTCAGTCTATTTCCCATGGGTAACTGTAAAATATCTTATTTTTGTCTGTGTGTGTGTGTGTGTGTGTGTGTGTGTGTGTGTGTGTGTGTAGCTATGCATCAGGCCCTGGACACGCTGAGTGACAGCACAAGCTCCACAACTGCCAATGACCTGGACCTCATCTTCCTCAAGGGCATCATGGAGAGCCCAGTGGTGAGAGCAACTCTGTACTGTAAATGTATGTGTGTGTGTGTGTGCGTGTGTGTTCAGAGCTTTTAATGGGACTGTTTCCAGTTAGATGGACAGACTAATGGATGAGTCAATGAGAAAGGACTTTCACTATATAGCAATTACATCCCAACACTACAGGCTACTTCTATTTCGTTGGATGCCAGTGTATTCAGCTGCAAAATGAAGGATATTTTATGCATGCAAATTTACAATTTAAATGCATTTGGTTAAATGGCAATACAGTTTTGCATTTTGTCTCAACATTCAAATTTGATTTCAACATCATCATTTGCGTGTGCCTTTTCCTGCATTTACGCGGACACGTAATTCATAACTAATCATTATGTTTTCACAGCGATTTGCATTTGCTGTTTTTACAGCATCATTACATTTAAATTTCGAATTTTTGCTTGCAATAATTACCCTCAAAAGACAACTTAAATTCATCAAAGACAATCACATTACCGTATGAATGGTCTTGCTTCATTGTTTTCTCATTAGAGTTTTCTCATAAGAGACATTTTATTTTCACTCTGTCATTCAGGCAGCAACATTCAGATGAAAACCTAAATAGCCAAACAGCAACTCTCCTCTTTGCTGCTTCGTGCCGCCGCTGGCCTCATTGTTACCTTGCAATACTGATTTCCGAGCTTTGAGTCATTTCATAACTTTTTATGTCGTGAAACGGGATGTTCGGATAGAAGCTTACATCAAGAGGGTTTTTTTTTAAACTCAAAGGAGGCAAAATATGTTTTGGCAATTATTTGGCATATTATAATATTTAGCTGAACACAGAGAAGACATCTGTCTTTTTTTGAAGGGACTGTTGACATTGTTGCCCAGCTGTCGGTCACAAGGCAACTCAACAGTTCTATTGCCAATCGGAGCAAAAGATTGAAACGCTTGTCAGTGAGCAGCACAGCTACCCGTGACACGTTTGACAGGTTGACGAGTGCAGCGGGAGCAGCAGCCCCTGTGATCAATGGAGAATCCAGGAATGAATGGCAGCCATTAAGTTTTACACTTTTGTATTTATTCTATTCCGTTCATAATAATGTAGAATTGAAAATGATTCACTTGCACATTATCCATAAGATTGACATCAATCCCCTACTAGTAGTACTACATCATCCCGTAGAGTGGGAGAGGAGAATATGTAGAGCCAGCAGCACCTTGTAGTCCAACGCTGTAATACTCAAATCCACACCGCTACAGCACTCGAGAAGGATCGAAGGGTTTTCCATGCTAGACATACTTGAAATACATATGCCTTCTTCTTTTTTTGTCCGCAGCCTGTTGATCAGAATGGACAAGTTACATTTTCAAATCAGTTTTGCTTTCGCACAGATTTGTCTTGGACAGTTGCCCAGACATTGTATTAAAGTTAGTCCTGGATGGAAGCAAATCAGTGAAGTTATTCCAAGAGCACTCAGACGTGTTTGGCAATTGTCTTGTTGTTTTGGCTAAAATAATGGTAATAAACACAGGTAAACCCAAATATGATGACAGAATATATTCATACTATTCAGACCTTTTAAACAATATCCACCATCTGTCTCTCTTTGTTCACATTTGACAAGTTTATTTATAGTTAAATAAAGCGAAGCTGCAAGCTCATCCATTTCCAGCAAACTATCCCCAGACCTTTCTTCTCTTTGAGCAGTGACATCCACCTGATACTCTTCCAGTATTTCAGTTTTTGCAGTGTCATGAGCAGCGAGTGTACCTGAACAATATGTTCATTTATGTTGGATAGAAGCACCAAGCATGTTTTTTTTTTTCTTACACTGAAACACCACTAAAGCTCACTGTCTGCTTAGCAGCAGGTATTGAAATTAATTGACTTGGTTCTCCTTATGAAACCAATCACAGCTAGTTCTCCATATACACGTGGAGGAGAGAGATGAGGTTGTTATGGAGCAGCAACAGATGTTGAAAGAGCTTAGCGGTGGCAGAAAGTCTGTCTTTCTCTGGTGTCAATGACTTCCTCTTCCACTTCTTGCCAAGAGCCCAATTTCACATAAAAGTGTGCACTTTTTCATAAAACAACAGGAAGAGAAGGAAAGAGTACACTTCTGTTCACTGCAAAAGCACGCAAGGAGAAAAGTAGAGATGCAGTTCACGTCGCGTACTGAAATTCATTCCGTGCCTTTTCCTTCATGGTTTATGCCATCAACAGTCATTAGTATGGATTAGCACATTTATCTTTGGAATTGTGCACGGTCCGTGTTAGCTGGGTTGCACTGAGGTGGTAGCTGCTTGTGGCCCATGAGGCCTCTCTGACCGGGGAGATGAATTGGTCTGCTGGGCTACAGCTCAGAGACTCCGACAAGAGCCAGAGGTAACACATTATGCAGTCTCATTCAGTAATTCAGAGGCATTTCTGCTCAGGAAATTTGGAGATGGACTATCCACAGGGAGCAGTAGGGAACACTGCATACAAAGCCTCCCGTACGGCTCACAGCAGAGCCCGTTCTGCTCCCTTCCAGCCCGAGTTCTCTCCGTCAATTTGTTTTTGGTTTATTTTCACTAAAGACTTAAGATTAATTTCCTGTATGTGTGCGTGTTGGCGTCTTAATAGCACAACACTGGTATTAGTACTGGGTGGCTGTGAGGCTTCTCAGAGACATTGTATTGATGAGCATTACCATAAAAGATTAGTCTGCTGATGCAGGCTATGAGTCAAGATGCCTTGCTCAAGGATGTGAAAATGATTTCCAAGATGACCACATGGTGGATCTATAAAGGCTTAACAAGCCATCGCTTAATGTGCTGAGAATGTAAAGAAGGCGATAACAGGGACAGAGCAAGGGTCCAAGCTTGTGTGCATATGGCATGGTGACTTTAGTGAATTGTGCTGATTGCACCCCACTCACGAGAGAATGATGCAATCAGCCCAACCTGCAATTCTGTGATGAATCTGAAGGGTGACAATGAACAGATACCGACAACAGGCGCTATCCCCAGTGCTGGATTATTATCAGCTATGACAGTGGCACTGACTTGATGCTTGGCTCTATATCTGACTCAGTGAACTGCAGTTAGACTTTTAGTTATGTACCTACCTTGTACATTTTAACTTCCAAGCCATCGCATTTCCCCTGTTCAGACTGTAAAGGACACTCCAAGGTCTTTGATAAATAGTGCCATGCGGCCTCCAAAACATTGAATACTGCTTTTATACAAGCCAGTCTACGCAAAACTATTTAGTTCTTATGTGATTAAGCGGTGAAATCTTCACATGCTGTAGTGCACCTTATCTAATGTAGCACTCAGTGCTCACCATGGAGCTGCTGCTTTAAAATAAATTCCTAATGCACTAGATGCTGAATGATAAGTCGCAGTCAAAGGCAATGTGAGAAACTATCTATTAAATTTCCATTATTTAAAGTGGGATTTGTATTACCGACTGTGGCAATAAGTAAATGACAAGATAATGGCTCATCACGCTAAAACAATAAGTACAGAGGAGTCATACAGTTAGGGACCTGACTCACTCATGTCAGTTGCACAGCCGTATCTAACATTATTTAACATTAGTCATCATAAGCTACTGGTCATACCAGACCAAGTAGGGCTGTAGTGGAAAAAAACCCTCAGTGTATTGAATTCAGCTGGTGTTTTTATTGCAAATTAATTCAGGTTTTCATATCCAAGATCATGAATGTGATTTTATATGTCAGAAGTTTAAAAAGTCATTAGTCTTCCTTTTAAGTAATTTTAAGTAATATTACCTTTTATCAGCCACCATTGATGACTATTGGGAACAAGATTGATCTGATTACAGCACTGAGCTTTATTGGTGAGATGAGAAGACGAACTAAACCAGACATGTCATGAAGATGCAGAACACAATTATGACGCTGCTTTGTCATTTCCTTTTTGCCTTTAAAACAGCAGTGCTCATGAGGAAGATTAGTAATGTCTTGCAATTATAATGAAATGGGAATTTTAAAAAGCCTCAAATTTCAGCACTTGGCAGAATAATTGTTAAATAAGTAGTGTCAATGATGGAGTTTATATCATCAACCTGATTGGCTGATAGTAAAGAAAATGCTCAATGTAATAGGACAGTACGAAAACATGCTTATCCTTGTCGTTTTTGATGCAATTAGTCATTTTTATAACTAATTTAAAGTGGTGTCAAAACAGACACGTGCCTCAGAAATTGTGTTCATGGCTCTCAAAACAGTGTCATCATATAGCTGGCATGTAGTCCAAGGGCCCGACACTGACAGCTCGCTCCATCCGGTTACAAAGGATTCTGCCAAATATCACAAATGAGCAAAGTCCTTGTGCCGCATCACTGAATCACTGTGTTTAAGCCCACGTCCAGATAATGCGTGCTGTGCTAGTGTGTGTGTGCAGAATGTGTGTAGTAAAGTGCACACGATGAGGCTGTGTACATGCAGGCGATCGAGAGAATATCTGTTTGTGTGTATCTGTGCCCTGTATCCTGTTTCTCGGCAGGGATCCTTCCTCTCTTCCTCAGACAAACAAACAACGTGGTGGCCAGAGTTGTCATCAGTCCCTCCAGACAAATCCTCTGTGGGAACGCCTTGACACTGTGGACCTTCAAATACAAGATTGCTGTGTGTACAGCTGCAAATGACTGTTGATATGTTAAGGGTTTAAACAATATCTATGTTTTTTGTTAGTTGATTAAATATCATCATATTTCAGTATAGAAATCTCATTTATTTGCAAAACAATATGGTGTGTAACGTAACAGAAATATCCCAATGATAAAAAATGAATGACTTTATCCTTTCCCATCTGGTGCATTTTATATCTGCGACCTGGTACCAGAGACGTGGAAGCCATATCCAATAACCACAGACACATGGCGGCAGAGAAGGAGAAAGTGAAAAATGAATGTTCCCTGAAATATTGATGTTTCACAGCAACATACTGAAAACTCCTACCGGGTGCAAGATTTGACCCAAGTTTGTGCTCAGTTTTCTTGTTTTTTGTATCTTCCATTGAGGATTTATGAGTGCAGTCTGCACGTCGCTCTCAGCAGTGGTTGGCTTCAGGTTGCTGTTTTGTTGTTTGTTATGGTGCCCTTATCGGTGTTGCTGAGTACAAAATAAACGGTCCTGCAGAAGTCAGAAAACCTGCCATTATAATTCAGCAGAGTGCATCAACTGCTCACTGAGAAGGTGCACGAAAAGGAACTAGATGTCATAGATTCCTTTTCTGAAAGACTGGTAGAGGCAAATCAGGGGATCAAGAAAATCCTGGCACTTGGAGAAGGAACCTGAAGTATCGTGTGTTTTATATTTATTAAATCCCAGGCCCATGAGCAGTTTGAGGAGCCCAAGCTCGAGGCTGTGAGGGAGAACAACGTGGAGCTGGTCCAGGACATCCTCAACGAGCTCAACCCGCTCTCAAACAGGAGCCAGGCAGTGGACGAGCTGCTCCGCATCCTGAAGGAGCCTCACTTCCAGGTCTTTCATCTCACAGCAAACCGTAGCTTGAATTGATTTCTTTTCAAAGTGATGTTCATGCTTAATGATGCTAGCATGGATTAGATTGATATGGAGTCCATGCAGTGACTGACAATTGCTCTGCACAGGCCAGAGCAAGGACACCTGGTTCGACAGTAAAGCATGATCCTGTCATCGTCTTGCAAGTGGAATTGTTTGTCAATGCCATCCTCAGTGTTTGTGTCACCTGCTGGTCTGCTCACAGTCCCTCCTGGAGACCCATGACTCTGTGGCGTCCAAAAACTACGAGACTCCTCCCCCCAGCCCCTGTTCCTTCATGGACTCAGCCCTCAACAACCAGCCTGTTCCCCCAGACGCAGTCAGGATGGTGGGCATCCGAAAGGTGTCTGGCGAGCACCTGGTAAGTCGACTCAGCTAATGAGCAACCCATTGTAATCAGTGGGGCAGGATAGAGCCCTCCTGTCAATTGTGAACAGATAAAACGCCTTAATTAATGGCATCATGATTTGTGTTTTGGAAGCAGCACTTGCCCTCAGTTTAATGAGATTTTTCCGTAGCATTGTTAAAAAGAGAAGGAAGTCAGATTCAAACTGCTTTGCAGCACACAATAGGGGAGATTTATCTGCAGCACCTTGACATGTTGATTAATACCAGTGATAACTTTGCCAGGTGCTGTATTGTCTAACATTTCGCACCGACTCTCTGCCAACTGTTAGTGGAGTCACTCACAGGTTCGTCATTTCACATGTTACTATACAATGAAGGAAGTTGCTGGTGTCACGAAATCCAAATTGTGGCAAATGTGAGGAAGCATAAGTGGAAACTGAGTGGGACAGAAAAGGAGCAACAACTGACAGTAAAAAGCAAGCACACCCTGAAATGTATCTTTATTTGAGCCTAAATATCTTCTTTATGGAAAAGCTGCTGTTAATTCATTAATGAATTAATTAGAATTATACTGTTATTGTTCCGAAGAGTTCACATTTGTGTTGTTCTAAAATAGACTGTGTTGTTTGAGTGAAGGTAACCCACTGACTGTGTGCGTGCGTGTGTGTGTGTAGGGAGTGACGTTTCGAGTGGAGAATGGCGAGCTGGTGATAGCCAGGATCCTCCACGGCGGCATGATTGACCAGCAGGGTCTGCTCCATGTGGGCGACATCATCAAGGAGGTGAACGGCAAGGAGGTGGGCAACGACCCCAAAGTGCTCCAGGAGATGCTGAAGGAGGCCAGTGGCAGTGTGGTGCTGAAGATCCTGCCCAGCTACCAGGAGCCACACACACCAAGACAGGTCAGCTGGGGGGGGGGGGTACGCACATCAAAACAATCGGCGCAAGCATCTGTTTCTCATATACACACACACACACACACACAGAGGGAGATATAAAGAAGTGTGTAAAATCTGTTTATTACAATGGAGACATATAGCTCATATACCGTTTGTGCTTGTTTAGAGATACGACAACTTGTGTTTGAAATGTTTTAGTGACACATTGAGTCTCATTCTCTTTCAAAATACACATTTCTGATCACCCATCCTGAAATAGATATTGTACAAAAGTTGTGATTAGTTTGAAAGGATACTGTTATTTCCATCAGTCAAGTAAGTACCACTCACTGCTCTCCCTGGCCCTCTCCCCGCTGCCTGTAACCTTGTATGCTGTGCCAAGAATCATACATCTACTGCTATAGCTTTGGAGATGACTTTGCCTATTTAGATGTAATACCTGCTTTCCAGCTTTGTCACTTGTCCAAATTTAGGGTAATTTTCTGCTCATAGATAATGGATCAATATTTGAAGTTTGCAAGAACCAGAAAGACAAAGAGGGATCGCACACTGACACTGGAGTCCTTTCCTGCTGCGGTTGTAAGGTTCACATCAGAAATATTATTCCAGTTAGTCGGATATCCATTATTTGTAGGAAATTACTCAAGAGAGTGTTCTAACGGCTGAAAAAGGTAATGGTGTGTTTGTGGCTCTCCTTGGGTTGTGCTAGCTAATGAACACCAGCTTTCTAAGAACCTAATGAGGCTAGCGACACTGAAGATGTGACCCAGTTTAAACTGAGGGGGAAATAAATGAGTTGCGTTGCCTGGTGATGCCAATAGGATGGGAGGATGGAGCACATCGGAGGATGCAGCGCATGCAGATCGAGATGTGTCGGGCACAAGGCTCTGTGACTGATCGGTCTCAGCAGTAGAGAAGAGGAACACTAGAGCTTGAAGAAGCCGTGCTAAATGAATTACTTACACTAGAAACTAAAATATACTGGAACACAATCTACAAGGAAATTATGTAGAGAGGGTTTAGCACAGACAGACACATGTGTTTGAAGCATATTATTGCTGTTCGGTAAAATTATTTCTAAAATTTCAGAATGAAGTGAAAGGTCAACAGTTGGTTTCCTACCAGATGATACTTCATTCTTAGCCAGGCTATCAATGATGGTCAGTTGGTTAGTCCACCACTTTATATCTCAACAACTGTTGGATTGATTACGCTGACATTTTTACAGACATCCTTTATGCCCCGAGGATGTCCCCTACTGACTGTGGTGATCCTTACTTATCCTCTAGCACCTGCTAGGTTGACATCTCTGGTTTTGAGTAAAAACGTCTCTCAAAACTAGATGGATTGCCATAAAGTTTGGTATAAACTTTCATGTCATCCACTGATTGATTTGTAATAACTTTAGTTACATTTTTGGTTTGCTTAACGTCTTCTCTACCGCCCTCATCAGATTTTAATTTGTCTATTAATTGGGTTTATGACCAACTATGTGCAAAACTAATGACATTCCCATCAGCCTTTGCTGTTCTTTGTATTAATTACCAATTAGCAAATCTTAGCATTGTCGTTGTGAGCATGTTGCCATACTTTACACTCAAAGCACCTCTGTGCTTAAGCACAGCATGGCTGTAGACTCTGATGCTGTGTTCACACAATGAGTGGCATAGCAACAGGCTTAAAGTTGTTTTCAATGGACGCCGGTGACATGAAGCTACAAACTGACACGTGACGCTTGTCGCTGCTGTGATGGTCATGATGCTCTACAAATCAAAGTTGAGCAGGTCCTTCCAATCACATGTTTTTGTTTAACATAACTACGTCAAGGAGCACTTCACCAACACTTCAACGGCAACTCTGCAACAGTGTAGCTGACTGCGCTTGACTGTTTTTGACGCTTTTGTCGCTTGTAGCGTTAACATCTTATTCTTTTGGCTTTATATTAGCCAAGAGAATTCCCTCAGTACGGAGAGGAACTTCGTAATCTTTGGAAATGAAAACATGTAAACTATATCAAAAGTGGAATTTGCAGCTTTACATATGACGGTCGCTATTAAGTAGATTTTTCACCCTGATGGCAGCAGCCAATCTGGCGAAATCATCTAAAATGGCTTTCATATAAGAGAACCTAACACCCACACAATTCTAAGGGTTATTAATTGAAAAGAGTGTGTTCAGAGTCATGGCCCTTTCGAACATTTCAGAAAGTGCAGACTTCTCTGTAAGAAGACCTTTGCATTGTGAAACCAGAGCGTACAAGTCTTTAGTTTTCCTTTTTGTGATGTCGGCCCTGGATATCAAAGTGCCCACTTGAATACCTAATAGCGACCGTCAGTTAGAGATATTAAAAGGTGACGTGGCTGTGCTCCCACAGTGAAGTGCTGTGTAGGTAGATGTTGTACTGTGTGAGGAGTTGCGATAATAAGAGTTGTTCGCAGAAGTTCTCTCTGAATGTAATCCAGCTGTCTGTGTGTAACGCCTTGAGCTTTGCCGTCGCATGGTGACTAAACTCAACTGACAGCAGCTCCCTTTGGCTGTGAGTCTGTCCATTGTGTCATTACAGGGCTGGAGTGAGACACACACAGTACAGTAAGGGCTGGCAGCCTTTTTATGCTTCAGTTCAGTACGGGAAAAAGGCGTCACGAGCAAGGGGGGGGGGGGGGTAGTTGCCATGGCTACAGATTTTGGCTCTCTCTCTTTATTTCTGTCTGTCTGTCTCTCAGACTCCTTGTCCTGTCGGTGGAGGTTGGGATTCATGGTTTGGTTTGAGCTGAAGCCTTAAGTTGTCGGGAAAGTGAGCTGAGAGATGGAGTAGACTTTAAGTGCTCAAGGCTGTTTGATAGTGCCGGACACTCACTCACCCAATCCATCTAGCACACATCATGTACTGTTCATACAGCACACCAGAGGCAGCATATATATTCATTCCCCAGCCTGTCTATTCAATTAAACATGTATTTTTCTTTTATCAATCAGTCTGTTTTGACATGCATTACAGCAATTGTACTGACCCCTTCCCTCTCTTCAACATGTTTATCCATTTAGGCCTTTGTGAAGTGTCACTTTGACTACGACCCATCCCATGATAACCTGATTCCCTGTAAAGAAGCAGGGCTGAGCTTCAACAGTGGAGACGTTCTGCAGATTTTCAACCAGGAGGACCTCAATTGGTGGCAGGTCAGTACAAGTCCCAGGATATTCAACATTTTTGTGCATCAATTGAGCTAAGACTGAGGGTGTTTTATTCGCCTGCTTGTTAGCGCGTTGCCTCATTCTTTGTGTGCCCTCACAGGCCTGTCACATAGAGGGAGGCAGCGCAGGTCTAATTCCAAGCCAGCTGCTTGAGGAGAAGAGGAAAGCGTTTGTGAAGAGAGATCTGGAGCTCACTACCACAGGTACACCTCTCAGCATCAGCAGAGCAGCAGAGCAGAGAAGCACTTCTCATTATGCAGATTCGACACAGGCTCCTCGCCGCACAAACACACCGGCAACAAAGACAACATCTGTTCCTCGCCATATCATACAAGCATTTCTTATGGCGCCGGCCCGCTCATCCTCCCCTCACCTCTCCAGTCTGTTACTCTGTCAGTGAGCACTGGAGGACTGGTAATGAGCATCGCTGTGACTCAGGCAGCCAGATTGCAATCTGCGTGTGATTAAGCTGCAGGCTCTGCCCTTCGCAAGCGGCTCTCCCGAGAAGGAGAGTTGATTGAGGAGTGGTGATAAGACCCCCGTAAATACAAACCTGATCAATAATCATCTCCTCTCTTATGAGATGCCGGGTGAAAAGAGGCTCTGCTCCTTTAGATTTATCGCCTCTCTGCCGTTTCCTCAGCAGCAACAAAACAGGTGGTGAGACACAGCCGGCAGCATGCCCTTTACTCGTGGAGGAGAGGAAGATGACAGCCTCACTGTACTGCCCTTGGAGCCTGGGAAGGACACATCTGTTTGCTAGCACGCTTTTCACATATCATACCAACTAAGAGCGTGATTTGAATGAGAAAGAAATATGTTAATTGGTCCAATTCATACATTCAGGAAAAATACGTCATTATTTAGCACTGTGGCTGTAAGGTGCTAACAGAAAATAGGTGTCACAGCCTGAAGGGTTGGATTCTGACATGGAAATAAAGAACTGATCTCATGTTTGCTTCTTTTCTTGTCTCTGTTCATAAGACATTCTGCCCCACGGCTTAAATAATCTGCCGTATTGATCAAACGGTGGTGCAGATCGCCTTGTCACAGGTGTCCTCTGGCAGCAGACTGGTTGCACATAGACTGATAAATATTGGTGCACAGTGCCACCCAGTGGCCTTGTTTCTCTAATTCTAAAAAAAAGTTTGGATTTATGACCCTGCAGTGCATTCAGAGGCATTCACCTTGATACGACATCATTTTGACTTTGTGGAAGTGGGTGGCAGAAACAAGCGCCGAGGTTGTACGTTTTATTGAGTTTTTTTTGTTGCTGTCTGTCTCAGGTCCTCTATGTGCTGGCATGGGTGGTAAGAAGAAAAAAAAGATGATGTATTTGACTACCAAGAATGCAGGTAACTCACCTCACAAAGTATAAATTCACCGTCTTTTTATCATTATGTACATCTCCCTAATTACTAGTTTCTGACTAGAATTTGATCGGCACGAGCTGCGGATATATGAAGAGGTTGCCAAGGTCCCGCCCTTCAGGAGGAAGACGCTGGTTCTGATTGGTGCGCAGGGGGTCGGCCGTCGCAGTCTGAAAAACAAGCTGCTTGTGTCGGATCCCCAGCGGTATGGCACCACCATCCCCTGTGAGTGCAGCCAATCATCATCACACTAAAACACATACAATGACAGAAAATCCATCTTTCATTCTTTTGTTGTTGTTACAGTGTTTGTTGTATTGTTGCATGCTGTGTTACTGTTGTCATTTAACTGCTTTTCCCTGAAGTTCATTTCTTTCCTTGTCATCTTAGTTTGTCATCTTGGTGTTGAAGTTTGAATGTTTTTTAATATATACATATTTGAAATTGTTATATTTTCTCCTTCTTCTTGTGATTTCATCCTTGTATTTTAGTGTCTGTATTTGCGCTGTGCAAGTGATCTATTTCGTCCTCTTTTCTGTCCTTCAGTCACCTGCAGAAAGCCAAAGGTGGACGAGAGGGATGGCCAAATGTACTCCTTCATGAACCGTAGCGAAATGGAGTGCGACATCAAAAATGCTCGTTTCTTGGAGCATGGCGAGTATGACGGGAACCTGTATGGCACCAAGATCAACTCCATACACGAGGTGATAGACACGGGAAAGATCTGCATCCTGGACGTCAACCCACAGGTAGATTCTGTTCCTCTGCCATCTAAACTTTACGTACAGCTCATTGCTACTGAAGTCCTTTCAGGCTCAGCACACCATCAATGTTTATCAAAAAGGATCTCTTAATAATCGACATTATTTGCTGGAAACACTCAGCTTATTTTATTTGCATACATTAGCATGATAGACTTGTTAGATTCTCAACTTAACAATTACGTATGTGTTACAGCGATTCCCAATGCAGTGATTGTAACTGTTTGTCTCTGAAGGCTCTTAAAGTCCTGCGGACGTCAGAGTTCCTGCCCTATGTTGTCTTCATTGAAGCCCCGGATTTTGAGGTTCTCAAAGCTATGAATAAGTCCGCAATCGAGTCAGGAGTTGTTACAAAACAGTTAACGGTAAGTGTGTGTTTTCTTAAAGGCCTTGAAAACCCCATTCTCTCATTCATGTTATACTATGACAAATATTGTCATTATATGAACGCTCAGTTTGGAACAGTTTGTTGATTTCACATGGTGATGTTTTTTCAAAACTTTTAACTTTGATCGTTGCTTATTTAGTCACAGATATGTAAGAAAAGAGAAGAAAGGAATACTTTTAAAACCATGTTTTCATGCGACTTTAAAAGTCAGTGGTCCAACCATTAGAATCAACTAAACGGTTACATTTTGTACCCTAAATCAGTTCGACTGAAATGCATCACATGAAAGATTATGGTATTAGTAATTGGAATGCCTAATGTGTTTGATTTAGTCAGCATAGCAAATGGGAAAGTTGAAACTAATTTGATTTCTGTTGCGCACAGCTTTCACTGTTTACTCTGTTCTTCCATTCGAGTAATTGCCTGCTCATCGTATTTATGTTCACCTAATGGCCTCACTGTCCCGCACCTCTCCCTGAGATGCTCTCTACAGGACTCCGAATTAAAGAGGACGGTGGACGAGAGCGAGCGCATTAAGCGGGCCTATGGACATTATTTTGATCTTTGCATCGTAAACGACGGCCTGGACGCCGCGTTCCGAAGTCTACGGTCGGCACTGGACAAACTGTCAACGGAGCAGCAGTGGGTTCCTGTCAGCTGGGTCTTCTGAAAGTCCCCGAGAGCACACCAGCAGGGTGCCAGGTCCACAGGCCCAAGGTCAGAGGACGGTTTGGTAGCTCCAGAGGGGCTGTGTCCACGCAGTCATTGCTGGTGGAGGTCTGTAGTGAAGTGTCATGATTCAGCGCAAATGACCAGCCTCATGTAGAGCGTTTTTGTACAAACTTAGTGTTCCTCTGTTGAGCCTAATGTCAAGTTGTACTTTATTTGTCAGAATTGGGATAATTTAATTGATATTTGTTCAGAAGGGTTTAGAGTTGATTATGAGGTTTAGTGCAATAGTGTGAGTGAGTGTGTGTATGTTATCATAGACGTGATAATAGACTTGGAGTAAAGAAAACGTTTGCAGACAGCAGTGCTCTATTGAAGGATATTGAACTCTTTAGCCTTTCCTACTTTATGTAGTGTAATGTTTACATTGGATTGGTAGGACAGTGAAGGAAAGATACCAAATGTTTGTGATAAAAACTCAATATTTTACCATTTGATCATACAGTATGATTGTATGTGCTCATACGTGTGCTTTATATTAAGTCACCACTAATTTGAAAAATAAACAGCAATAGATCATTTTAAAGAACCATATACGTGCAATACATTTACTCTACATACTGTATACACACTAGCATATTTTGCGTTGATTTGCAGTCTCGATTTGTTTTGTTTCCGTTTTAATGTCGGTTACATTTGTTTTCCTGTGTCTGGTAAACGTGTGTGGTTTTGTTTGACGGTGAGAAGACTCAGCGAATGGATCACAGTGTCTAACTACTGCCTGCTTGATCCTGTTGTTGTTGTTGTTGTTGTTGTCTTTGTAGCACTGAGAACAACAACCAAAAACTGAAGAAGTAGCCTACAGTATGCACTGATTGTATAATGAAGGCAAACAAATTACTAAACATTACAGGTCGGACAATTATTGGAAGTTGTCACGTTTTTTTTTTTTTTTGTTTTTTTTTGTTGATGTACAAAGAGTAAGATTTTTATCAGTGGCTTCAAATTCACGCTTACTTTTGCCTTAACATGGTTCAAAAGCCAAGGAAACACTGTTATCACTGTACATGTTCCTTAGAATTTAGAGAAAATAATACTGGCAACTCATTAAATATTTATTTAACTTCCCTCAAACTTGTAAGTACTGTATTGTAATAAAGAGTATATAGTATAACATCGAGAACCACTTGGTGCTTTGATGATTCCGCTGGTGTGTAGATGACTACACTGTAGTTTTGATGTTCATATTAAATGTTTTAAAATGGAGTATATTGCTGTACTGTCTACAGATAATATTAATGCAATTTATTTTTCAGTTAAAATCAAAGTATAAAAGAAACAACAATAGTATTTTTCAAAGTACACGGATGCAAGTGAAGGTGCGTCAGCGTTAGCGGTCAGTTACTATGGATATTAACCGATGGAGGCCTGCTGCAGCCTCTGTGGCTGTGGGGGGTTTTGGGTGCTGGATGAGGGTTGTGGGGTTGGACGCAGAGCTGCTGTGGACGTCGTCCAGCGATGAGGCTCCAGAGGCAGCGTTATCGGGTACATCTCGTAGGGCTGCAGCGAGCCCCCTGGCCAAACACTCGTCAGCTTGGGGTCGAACTGCATGAAAGACAGTGAAGTACAATGGTACTGTAGCCACACAGTTCATTTTAAAATGGTTACATATTTCAAATCATATAATAATACAGAAAGAATGAGCCTGAAGCTCTACATTACTAACCTTCGAAAGAACACAGAGCAGTTTTCAGTGTTAAGGGAATAGTTCATTTTGGGAAATATGCTTATTGGCTCTCTTGCTTGAGAGTAAGATGAGATCGATACATGCTCATGACACGAGAGAGCAATCTTCTCATTTTGCTCAAGCAATTAATCATATTTCCCAAAATGTATATCTTAGACAAGTGTTGATTTTTTGGGGACTTTTAATTGGAGTTAAAAAAATATTGATTTGAGAATCCACTTACAGAACCACAATATGGCTCTGACTACCTAGGTGCTCCTATGTGTTAGGAATATTAATGAATAACAGACGAGTAGTTTGAGTCAGTTTGCAGTGACTGAGGGTGACTGTAGTGAGGGCAAACACACCAGTGAGTATGGGGGTGGGTGATCCACAGTGCTGTACCGAGGAGGGAATCTGTCGTAATGTCTGTCCTCTGTTGCCCGATCTTCAGGAGAAGAAACCGCGTAGATCACTGAAGACGAGTTGTCATCATGCGGTGTCGGTATGGTGACGTCGTACGCTGCTCGTTTCTTTCTTACCTGCAGATAGAAGCAGAGGAGCACCACAGCTAGGGACACCATCAGGGCTGGGAATCTAGGAGCACATTGCCATCATTTTCAAGACTGAGTTATTTTTGTGTCTCAAGTCAAAACAAAAAGTCCCTTCCTGTATGGAGGGATACATTCTTGGCTTTATTAAACTACTTACAGATATTGGACGATATTCACTGCCACAGTCATGGCTGGAATTGATGTCAAATTGCTGACATTACTGGGAGGGGGAGGGGATCAAAAACAATACAATTATGTGAAAAATGTACTTTCATTGACAGTGTGACTAATCTTTAAAATGAGAATAATGTCGATTGAATGCAATTACATCCACAATCTGTTCTGAAATACAATTCAAGTTTTAATTCCTATTAAATGGATACAGTATAGGTACAGTGAAATAACGACTGATAAGTCAACTGACAACAATCGGTGAGTGGGTGTGAGCTGACATCACAGGATATGATGATGTGTCAGCCTTTACATCTTCAATCGCACCCGAACAGTTGCTCGAGACTAACTGTCCAATCACAGTGTTGTGACCTGAACTGATCCTGAATCAATTATTCCACTTTAAAACCCTTTGAAAACTGCTCAGCACTGCACAAGTAGAAAAGTTAAATCAAGACGTTTGGAGTTTGACAAGTAGCATTGATGACCAGCCTACGGTTTGACTTTATACCGTCTGAGTTTAACAACTTAACAACAGTGGACCTTCATCCTATAAATCTTTTGCTCATGACAACAGTATATGAAAAAAAAAAATAGAATTGACATAATTCTAACATGTTACCTTAACGATACAGAATTAGAAGATCCGTGGATCATTATGTTACAGTGGGATGAGTCCTTACCGTATTTGAGAATCCAAAACATACAGAAACTGTCCTGCCCTCAGGATTGCGATCAAAGGATTATGCGTCACTTAGGGAAGTGCACAACCTGAGGAGCTTTTACAGCATTATTGTCTTTTTTAAAGACACAGGACTTAGAGGTGTGCTCATGTGTCTTGTATATTTCTAGTGTGTGAAAAAACAAAAGGATAGATTTGTGAACGATTGCTATTTATTGCAGTAAACCAATAATTATGGCTTCAGGGGACAAATATCAGACCGCTGCTCTGTTTCTACTCACGGTATACAAACTGTCATAATAGCAACAAAATAGTGATGGCTGAATTCTTGGCACTATCTGGCCTGAAACCCCATCTTCCTACTTTGCTTTTTGGGAAAACCAAACTTAACACTATTGTTGTACATTTCAAGTGTGATTTCTTAAATTGATTTTATTCACAAGTATAAATTAATTTAATAAATTACATACATAAAAAGGAACCACAGTACTTAAGGCCCTAACTCAAATATTTTACCTCTTTAGAAAAAACATACATACATAAATACGTGCATGCATACATACATACATACGGGGGCGTTTTAGTTGGATTGTTCTAGAAGATTTACTAGTTGTATCAGTCGTATAAAGATTCTCCTTTCCATCAAGCGGATTGCTTACAGGTAGATTAATCCTATACACATATGTCCCAAATAAAACTTATATCTCATACAAGCAGAAAGTGTATTTAATAAAGGTACCCTTTAAATTGCAAATTTTGGCCCCGATCTTAGTTTAAAAGTAGGGCTGAAATTCAACATTCATTATTTTTTCCCGCTACAAATTCACAATCCCATTTCCCCATGCAGACGGCCTTACAAAAGCTGATTCACGACGACATGTTTTGAAGTCATTTCTAAACACCATTTCACAATGTGACCATCGTATTGACTCTTATTTGATTCCATAGACCTACGCTGGGATGAAAAGATACGGATTGTTAAAGCTAGAAGGTGTTTGAAGAGGAGGAAGAGGAAGACAAGGAAGATCAGGCTTGCTCTGAGTAAGCCGGAGGATCTGTGTATGACGGTGGGGGGTCTGGATGGGATGGTGCGTCAAGCTGCAAAAAGAGAGAGACATTTAATTAGAGATGATGCAATTTGGCTGCTGACGATGAAATCTCGTACAACTGTTTCCAGATCGTCCTCATCATGAAATATGATGAACGTAAGAAGGCAAAGAAGATGCATACAGCACTGTACCCTGTATGGAGGAGGTGGACTGACATCTCTTGAGCAGTACATAGGAGGGTTTCTGTAAGGAGGCTGAAAATATACTTCATATACTGTATGTCCAGTACTTCCTCCTTTTCTTCTTCCACCCGATCCTCTTCATATATGGGGATGACGTACACAGATGAAGAGTCGGTGGGCCTCGGGGGCCAGCCTTCTGCTTCTCTGTGCTTCTTTGCGAAATGGCAACAAAAAACCCAAAGAACGATACCAGCGCACAATATGGGGATCCTGAAATAACGGACAGCTTATACGAGCAGCACGCATACAATAATAATGTATAAATAAGACAAATTAATCTGAGGGAATACTTACTCAATCGCAGGATAAAAAGTGACCATGGCAGTCTTATTTTCCAAATCAGGCTTCACACCTGAGGAAAAGGACAAATCCAATTTTAAAGTTGAAGATTTTTAAAGTTAAAAATGTACAGCATGTGTAGCTTTTATGGCATATTGCCACATGAAAGATAATAAAGTTGAAGAAAGTAATCAGCGGTAGAAGGCAGTGGCAATTTCCTTTCCGTTTTTGATGAATATACAAGAATGGGCCTCGTACGATGAGACTGCTCCTAAGGTTTCAGGCCTTTAATAAAGTCAAATATAAAACAGAACAAAGAAACATTATTCAACAAGTTTGGATGAGCTGTCTCGGACTTATTTGAATAACTTACATGCTGAAAACAAAGCTTACGTTCCAGTACAAGCCATGCAGAGCAGGATAAGTAGAGCCCTGACTTGCAACAGACATTTTTATAGCCTCATTGACCTGTTTAAAGTAGAAGAACTCACCGAGGTTACAGCGGTGACATAAGCAACTTATTGACACTGCTCTCACCACACGGCAGAATGACGGTGGGCTAAAGGCCGCTGGCTGTTAAGGGGACTCTTACTGATTAACATAGGTTGAGATAGACAACACAGAAAGGTAATCAGGAGGGGGAAATCACATAACAGGACAACACAAGAGTCCCTGTTTCAGCTTGTTTCTTTGGAATGCAGTCAAGGTATAGTTGAAACATGTTGGAGGTATTTCTACTGCAGCTCTCTGCGCAGCACATTTCACTTTGAAGCAGGATTTTCTGTCCCAGAGAAAAAATATCATTTGAAGCTCACACTGAGCCATTTAACACATGTGAAAGAGCTCAAGGTAAACCACTACACACACTTTTTCAACCTTTTTATTTATGCTTAACGTTGCTCTCAGGCCCGAAAATATTTCCATGCAGCTGTACATGTTTTACACATGTAAATGGCAAAACCCAGCATGCCTGTGAGTTGGAACAAAAGCATCCAATAACATAATGTTCATTAGCGTAGGAGAGGGGGAGGGGGAGGGGGTGGCGGCACCATACCAGAGGTGCCAGTGTGAAGGGGTGGTGGTGGAGGAGGTGGAGGGGATGCAGCTCCTGCTACAGGAGGAGGTGGAGGCGGGTAGGAGCCGTTTGATGGACAGCTTGGCGGTGGAGGGGGAGGCGGGGGGAGACATGTGGGTGAGGTGGAGAAGGGCGGCGGCGGTGGTGGGGGGAGGCCAGTGTCCATGGAGGAAGAGGGAGGTGGTGGTGGTGGTGGAGGGGGAGTGGGCATATTGGGGTCCAAATCAGCAGTAGGAGGAGGTGGGGGAGGCGGGCTGCCGTTGATGGGGTCGGAGGCGGTTCGCAAGGTGGGGACTGATGGTGGAGGCACAGCAATGCCCAGACTGGATCTGCATACACAAAATAGACCTTCAGGTACTGTGAGCCATCATGACATCCTGAGAGTGACACAGTTTAGATTCTGAAGGAATAGTTCCACATGTTGGGAACATTGTTATTTGTACTGACTAATGATATAACATGTTAATTAGTGTGCTTTAGAGGTGATGCTATAGGTGTTTCTTTTGTCTTCGGACAGAGCCGTGCTAGCTGTTTCCAGTCTTTATGCTAAACTGAGCTAAGCTAACCAGCTGCAGGTTGTTGCCCTATATTTAACGGACAGACATGAGGCTGGCCTCCATCTTCTCATCTAACTCTCGGCAGAAAAGTGAGTTCGCATTTTTCCCCAAACTGCTTCTTTAGTCCATAATAGAGAAACCTTTCAGACATGATCATAATGTATACAGGTCATGCTATGCCCATATTATAATAATCAGTATCGTAGTGGAGTGTTTAATTGTAGTGTTGCTAATAACAGGGAAAAGGAGAACTTTATCTATACGTACACAGAGTATTCTGCAGTAGTGAGTGTGCTCTCTGTTCTCTTTCTGGGCTGCTCAGCGATCTGTGGGGAGAAGATAAATGAAGGTGATAAAAAAACCATGGGGGGGTTGCATTGTGCTCGGCATCCTTAATCTAATGGGAAATAATGAAACACAATTCTGTCTTCAAATTTAGTTTTCAAATTTACCTCAAAACAGTGGCCAGTGAAGTCCAAGATGGAGAACGACAGTGGCACTCTTGTGTAGCTGCTCGCTGCCTCCTTGCCTGAAGTCGGTGGGGTCATAAGCTTGGAGCGGCTCCTGTTTTTGGGAGTAGTAAAAGCACCGATCTCTCTCCTGGCAACCGTCTCGTAGTGGATAGCAGCAGCCTGGATCAGAGCACAGTGTGAACACAAGATTTTCACACCACTTGTCCCCCTCACGAGAGTTTCTTTCTTCTCTCTCAACAATAAAACAGATGGATCACAGCGACCACACTGACCACAGATTAAAGGACCTGCCAGTAGAACAAAAGCACTGTAACTATACAACCAACAGTAAGACTCTCGATATTTGTATTTTAGTTTGGGTTCCTGAAGGTGATGCATGCAAAAAACAAATGCAGATCACTAATTTATTAAAACTAAAATAAAACCATAGTTATTTCAAATGAAATATGTCACTTTGTGCAGTGAATACAACTTTTATTTCTTTATTTTTTGTTCATTTCAACAACTAAAGAGCAGACATGGTCCAACCTTCTATGGACTGTGCGTCGGATATTATTATCTTTTGCCAGCTATGCAAGGGTCACATCACGCAGACCTCAGGTGTGGAGCATTTCAGGTGAAATGTGCGACTCACCAGTGACAGCAAGTTGACTGAGGACTCCATGTCACTGATCTGCATGAACTGGGAGTCCAGCAGCCTCAGCAGGGTGCTGGCCAGACTGTTGATCTGGTAGGACACACTGGCCAGAGCCTGGGCAGCCAAGCCCTTGGCCTCCTCAACAGCCTTGGTTGAATCCTCTGCCTGAACGATTATATATATATATATATATATATATATATATATATTACAACGATATGTTGTTACACGCTTCAAAGGCTTCTCATAAATATCTAAAAGTATGCCATAGTTATGCTTTTAAAGGGCACTTATTTTTTTACGAGCATAACTCACCTGGAGAAAATTGTTCTCGCAGTAATCTGCGACGCGCAGGAGGTTGCTGTGGTTATCAACAAGATCCTTCCTGGCAGCTGGCGCTTCTTTAAATATCCGAGTAATAACTTCAGACAAGTTATTTTGCTCCGTCATTTCTCCCATTTTGGCGCTGCCTGCTCAACAAAACCCTTAAAAAAAAAGTATTTACTCTCGCTGTTGAGGAGGATGTAAAACCTATTTTGGCGACAGTCAGCCAAGGTAGGGAGTTGTTATGTCGGCGGTAAAAGGCGGAATTACCGCAGGGTAAAGATTTTCAGAGCAGCTGGTCTCAGGGCAGGGCTCGCTCCATTGAAACAGGTGATCCAGAAGCAACCATGATGTACCTTATATACATATATATACTGTATATATATTCATCTTTATAATATCGTCACAGAGGCAATACTATTATTTATATTATAACATAATGTATATAATGTGATACCAGGTGTATCACATCACGTCTCACGAGCCACTTGTGTTATTTATAGAATCCGCTAGAGGTCAGTGCTGCAGAGAAAAGTGTCCCTCTCAAGAGTCTGACTGTAAGGGAGAGCGGGGTTGGTTGTCACACTCATTAGACTTCACTCCCTAGAGGGCACTGTTTCAAATGTTGAAACACAGTTTTAAGAAATGGTGTCAGAGGTGATTTACAGGGTAATTTCAGGAGTGAGACACATTGCGGTGAGAGTAGTTTTAGTGTTTTTTCTTCATGTTGAAATGTAAATAGCCAGCTCTACTGTGATTCTATTCTAGGCGTTCACACAATGGGTTTATTGTCAAGCATTGTTAACATTAAACAATAGGGAGAGCTATAGTATATATGGGCTTTTTTTCATACATGTGGTTGTCAGCTTAGTCGGTAGCAAAAACAAATCCCAGTTGGGGATGCTTATCACATTTTCCTCATGGGTTTGTTCACACATGGAGCTGAGCGTGAGAGACTCACATAAGGATGAGTTGAGTACAACTACATTAATTGTTCCTGTTTATGTTCTCTCGATGTTGGAGACATCATATAAAATGTTTTAAATTCATTTTTAAGGTTGCTTTTTATTCTTCCACATTAAATTAAACGGCACAAGGCGTATTTGATAGTTCATATCTTCTGAACAGAATAAGCGAAAGGAGAGTAAGGTCACTCCATTCCTACATGACATTTTAGGCTTTAAGTACAGACTGAAAGGGAATCTATAAGGGATGCAGTTTCTGAGAGATTCAAATGAAAGTAAAATGTGTGACCCCGTTCTTCGTACCCTGCATTATGAATGATGATGATGATGATGATAATGATGATGATAAATGATGCCACGGACAGTATAACACAAGTGTGAACCAGCTGGATCGGATAATGTTTCACTTCTAAGCGTGTTTCATGATGACAAAATGCTCAGCCAAAGTCAAAACACACTGCATTGTTCAGGATATCCTGTTGGCCTGTAAACAAGTTAAATTACCCAGCATCCTTGATTGTGTTTGCATTTATGCAGAAGTTCACGGTGGCCCAACTCGTTTTTAAAGAGGTTTCTGTTGGCTTACATGCGCACGATCCAGTCTGATACAATGCATCTGATTGATGTTTTGCCATGTGCCAGTCTAGCAGGACACTTTCACCTTATTGAGCCATGTGACAAACCACAGTAACATTTTATTTGGATGCAGTTTAGTGTTGATACCTGACTATCAGGTGACTACTAGATGTCTGATAGGGCCACTTGACTGTTTACATGTTGCAGCTCTACAGACCTTTGTACACTGACCTCAGCTCCATATTTTGGGGTGCATTTTATGCCTTTGTAAGATTGCTGACAGTAAAGAGATGACAGGAAATGAGGGGAAAGGAAAGGTGAATGACAACAACGTTCTGTAAGTTGGTTGCTCCGTTGGTCTAAAACTTTACAGTAACTATTGGATGCGTTGCCATGAATTTTTATACAGACATTCATGGTCGGGGGGGGGGGACAGACGGATCCATTTAGCACCACCAGCAGGTTGCCCCCTATACAGGATGAATAACTTTGGTGATCCCTTTGCCATCAGCTCCAGCAATACTTTGTGTTTAGTGCTAATTAGCAAATATTAGCATGCTAACACACTAAAGTAAGATGGTGTACGTGGTAAACATCACCGGCCGAACATCAACATGTTAGAATTTGTAATGTGAGGATGCTAGCACGCTGATATTAGCATTTAGCTTAAAGCACCACTGAGCGAAAGTACAGGCTCACAGGGCCGTTAGCATGTTAGCATGGCTCTAGGCTCTTCTACTTGTTAATCCAGTGGTTCTCAAACTGTGGGCCGCGCTCCTCTAGTGGGGCGCGGAGGTATTGCAGGTGGGGCGCAGGGGGAAATGCAGAATTTTTTTATTTCAAGAACTTTATTCATACCTGCAAACTTGTCGCTTTTCGGCGAAATTCGCCGTTTTGAATCAAAATATATCATCCACGTGAATCGTGTAGATCCATAGAGGGTTTTTTTGGGGGGGGGGTCAACTGGCCAGCCAGCGTTTCTCAGATTGGCGTGAGACGAGGAGAAAAGGTGATGTAGTGATCTTCACAATAAAACATCTCTGATGTGACGTGTTGAGTCTTGGCCAATCAGCGTTAAGATGTCTACACCGTCTTTCCCTCCGTTACAATTTAAGTTACGTTATGTCCCGTTACCGTTCAGACTTGCTGGGTTAAGTTAACGTCCACTGCATGCGGAACTTCGTGGACTGTTAACGTTCGTCATTATCACGATTTAGGAGGAAAAAACGCAACGTGATGAAACATGCAGACCCCCCCGTGTTCCGGTTCAGTTCCCGCGGTCACTCGTTAACGTTAAACCAGAACACCGGCGGATCTGGTTGCAGGTTGTTTGTTTTAACTCAAAGTAGAATGAAAGGCCCAGATACTGATGAGATGATGAGGTCAAAGAGCTCCAGGGAGAGGATGCTGTTTGTGTAGCGCAGCTTGACGCAGGGCTGAGCTATGAAGGAGCTGGGTCTGGATAAAGGTGGAGGTCTAAACAGACGTGAGTGCAGCTTCCTGCTGTCACAGTATTTTAAATACATTGATAAGGCAGGGTATGCTACATGCAGCCTCTGCTCCAAGGAGATAAAGTACAGCAACAAGGGCTCACGTGCCCTCTCATCACGCTGTTCACACTGTTCACTGTGATGACCACAGCCAGTGTACTAACAGTCCCAACAGTCCCACGTGCTGTTAAATCACAGCTATTTTACTTTTAGAATGCTACATTTTAAAGCTCATATTTAAAATAAAACGCTCCAGATATGTGTCACACATATCTGGAGCGTTTTGTTTAGTTTTGCACAGGTTGCACGTTATTGTTGTTTTGAAAAGATATGCAGTGTAAAACTCAGTAAAACTCTTTATTGCCAAATATTTGAACTTGTTTTGTTTAGTTTTTCACAGATTGCAGTTTATTGTTATTATCTTAGAAAGATATTCAGTGCAAAACAGGTGAATTGCAGCCACAATAAGCTATTTATTGTGGGCGGTGGGGCATGAATATTTTTCATCCTCCAAAGTGGGGCTGACAGAAAAAGTTTGAGAACCACTGTGTTAATCTATCTTCCTGTTTTTCTTTTATCCTTTTTTGGTGGAATTATTTAATTTCTTCTGGTCTATTAAATGTAAGCTTTGGAGTATCCAAATAAAACTGATACCAAATTGCACTAGCCTTGTACTAATGACGTTGAAATTATATATTTAATAATAATTAGCTAATGTTCTCTTAAGGATCTGATAATTGTTCACATGCATTTGAGTTCTCCTTTGAAAGTAAGCCAAACTTTTGCCAGGTTTGATATGATTGATAATGTAACAGCTGTCTTCAACAGTACACCTTATTCCAATGTGTTGGAGCTCGTATTACAGAGTCATCAGATCATTATCTACTGATAAGAGATTATGGATGACTTTATTCCTTTATTGAACATTCCTTTTCTCTGCGTTCAGCACAATCTGGAGTCAAAAAATGTTGCCATAGAAATAATTTAGCCACCATGTAATTTGTGTTGAAAGAGAAGATAGAGATTTACTGTTCACAATCATGATACTGATTACTGTTTTAATAATTATGGCTTTTTGCTGCATTTTCCTTTAGTTGAACAAACCCTACATTTATCACAATAAAGAAAACTGATCGACAACTAAATTTATTTTTGTGTATGTCGACAGAAATTCTATATCGTGTGTGTTGCATTGTGCGGCTGTAGACTTTCTCAATCTCTGGTCATAACAAATAGCTGTGATTCTGTCCCTTGCTTTTGTTGTTCTGCATGACTTAATGCAGCTAGTAACACACTATACCTAGACAGACATGGCCTAATGATATGATATACTGTAGAGACACAGGAACCTACTGCACCTGAGCAGAGGGAGAACACTATATTTACCTTCCTGCCCTCTCGCTGACTGCAGACATTATGTCATTTTCTTTCTGAGCCTCAACTGCTCAACCAGGGTTTGTAACACACAATTACCCGTTCAGTCATTACTCCACACTTACTCAGATGCACTTTTTAATCCTCTGGAATTTCAGTCTTGGAGAGGTCCCATTTGTATAAAGTATTCACTAATAAACAAATTCAGTGTGTTTATCCTGAACCATCTGAACAGATAGTTAATCACGAGCCCCCTCCCGCTACGGATTAGCTGCATTGAAATCCAAATCCACCATACGTATCAGTCAGGACAGCATGGACAGCACACTGCTGTTTTATGGCCTTGTGTACATGGACAAACTTTCCGAGTGTGAAACTAGCAAGGGTTGCTCATTATATCCTGAGAGCAATCCGTGAATTTAATGAAAAATATCCAGTAACTGTGGCTGTCGCAGGAATGTAATAAGCCCATCCAGCGAAAAATGAAATGAGTGGACAAAACGGTTGCCCGTCCAATCATTGCTACTTACCTACCTTCCTGCCTGCACATGCACATTGCTCGTCACCAGAGTCTCCCACAGGTTGCAATCTTAAAAGCTGTGAGCACTCACAATAGCCATGTTCGTTGTTTATGTTCATAATGATGATTTTGGGGGAGTGGTAATGGAGGGAGGCCTGACGGAACGGGCTGTCAGTGTTGCTGACTTGGTGATTTTCTCGCTACATTTAGCAAGTTTTAGCTACTTTCATTGGGAAAGAATTGGCAACAATGGGCTGGGTTCTCATAAAAATACGTCTCTATAGTGCTGTTAGTGGTAAAAATCATACGCCACAGGGTACCTTTTAATATCTATATTAAACCATACCCTGT